TAGTCAAATTATGAGAGCACATTAATAAAAAATAAGTGCTTAAAATAATTCCATTTTATAATGCCATTTAAATCTATATCATATTTAGTTGTAATCTTAAAAAAATAAATATCAGGCTATCAGAAAATAAAAAAATAACAATATGCCAAATATCACTACATACTAGCTTCATATATTAAGCACTTTAGGTACTAAATACTAACTTTACAATTTTGTTGAGGTTTTATGATTTTGTGTTCTAAAGCTATATATATATATATATATATATATATACACGTATATATACATATGTATGTGTGTATATATATATACACATATATATACATATGTATGTGTGTGTGTATATATATATATATATACACATATATATACATATGTATGTGTGTGTATATATATATATATATATGACTAAATAAATATCTTTAGATAGTTTTAAATTTCAAAAAATCCTTTTAGTGACTGTTAAAGACTAGTTTAAGAGATTCTGCTGTGAAAGAACATTGCATGTATCAAGGATTAGTAAACGTTTTCTGTAACGGGCCAGAGAGTAAATAAATATTTTAGGTTTTGTGAGCCATTCAATCTCTGTCACGACTATTCAACTTCATAATCACATAAAGCAAGGCAGCCATAGATGATATTTAATAAATAAGCATGGCTGTGATCCAATAAATTTTATTTACAAAAAGATGTGGCAGTCCAGAATTGGCCCACAAGCTATAGTTTGTGAACCCCTGACAGATGTAATTAAACCTCTTTATCAGTACGCTTTGGCTACAGGTAATAAAATATCCAACAAATAAATGAGAATAGTCATTTCTATTTTATTCACTAATGTATCTCAAAGCCTTAAATGGTGCCTGACATTTAGTAATCACTCAATAGTTGTGAATAAATATTTTCTTACTTCACCTAATATGAAGTTAGAAAGCATATAGTCCCAGATTTGCTTCACCAGTTCAATAATGTCATTTGAGGACTTTGCAAATGTTTCCTCATGTTTCTATTCTTTTATTCTTCTTGTGTTGCTGATATCTATGCACATAGTTAAAAAAATGGCTATAGCAGCTTCACACATCACTTTTCAAAATGACAAGGAGCAGGAAAAAGGGAAAGCTTTCTTTTTCCCCTCTCTCATCAAAGAGAAAAAGCTTTTTCAGAAGCTCCACAACAGGCTTTTCCCTTATATCTCATTGCCTACAACTAGGTCACATGTCCACTTCCAAGCCAATTCCTGGCAAAAAGACATAAAATCTGGTTTAGGTCAATGATTTATTATCTCAGGTTGTGGAAGAAGCTCATTCTCCCTAAGCACATTGCTATTGGAACAAAATCAGGGTTATGTGACTATGTATGAAGGAAAAAAACAGCTCTTATACTGGGAACAGATGATGTCTTCCATACCCTCAATAGAAAAATAAAAAATGACAACAATAAAATTTACTTTGTATTTACTTAGCATCAGAAAATGCTGCACATGTATTCATTCAATTATCTTAATTTCCTTCCTCTGGAAAGCTATGAGAGGAGAAAAAAATAGTATTGAGAAAGAAACAAGACAAAGCAAAACAAAACAAAAACCTCTATATTCTCAACATGATATACGTTTCAAGGATTTAAAAATGGGAGAGAGAATGAGATACTAATAATAAAATATGTATTTTTTTTTACCTTTTCCTCAGTCTGATTTTTGTAAAATGACTTCATTATTTCCTATTTTAGTAAATTCTCAGATAATATACTCTGGTATACAAAAGTAAGTATTAAAATTTTTCCAAAACTCAGTAATATGAAATTGTACACTATTACATAATTCATGTCATTGCTAGCTTCCATTATTTAGACCTGTCCCTGTATATATATTTTAAGGCATTTTCCTTAAAAATAATAAATTCTTTTGATTTTGTAGTCCTTAGCTGCAATATATAATTAAAGGTAGGATGTTTCCTAATGACATAATTAGTAGAGTTGACTTTAAAACCTGATAACACTTTCAAGTTACCAAAAGTGTTTTTAATAAGCTTAGAATATATTTTTTCACACTTTCCTATTGTACTAGGAATAAACATATTCATAAGACATGGCAATATTACTATTAAATAGGTGAAGGTAGATTTTAAGAACTGGCTTCAAAAGATCTGGATGTGAAAAGAATAATATAAAGTCCAAAATAGGAAACAATTAAATGATTATCTCAACCATAAAATACCTTGTCTATTCTCAGCACATTAAAATACAAGCTTTATCTAAGTATATTGGTGATTCAGAAATATTTATAATATTCTTTACTAAGAAGAGCATATTCCTGCTTCATAAGTATTTTGGAAAAGAATAGTAAATAATAAAAAGTTTAGACTAAAAAAATTTCACATGGGAAAAAAATAAATGAGAAAAAGTAAAAGCCTAATTAAAAGATTTAGTTTATTTTACACTTCAGTAAACACTGACAGCTTAAATATATGACATTTTTGGAAATTAGAAGGAAAGAGAACTAATAGAAAATACAAGGAAGAGAGAAAATAATGAAATAGTCAAAGGCAAGACAATTCCATGGGTGTGCTATGTAATTTTAAGAAACTCCAGGTATTAATTTAAATATAGCTACACTAAAATAAAAATAAAATTACTATATAATATAGAAGAATGCAAACAAAAGAATGTCAAACTTTAAAAGAGCCCATGTTTTGAATAAATTTAGAACTCAAAAAATTTTGGATGTTTAGTCTAGTTAAAAGTCAACAAAAAAAGATGTTTCAGAGTTCAGTCCAATTATGTGAATATTATGGGTTAAAGTTAAGAAACTTGGTATGGAAAAGCTTTAAACATTTTTTAGTAGCAAATATAAAAGAAGATCTCTATTACGTTAGACTGAGAAAGGACTTCGTAAAGGAGTTACAAAGAACAATAACCACAGGAGAAAGTGAGAGATTCAAATACTTTAAGAAAAAAAAAAAAACAAGAAAAAAAATTCTGTTCACCAAACACACCACAACCTGGGAATATACATTTGAAACACCTATTATGGAGTGTGTTGTATGAACCACTGGTGCTCATTATTTATTTCCATCCCCTTCCATATTCTGGCCTCTGTCACAGGGGTAGAAAGTCTAAAGCTACATTTCCAAGATGTCTTCCAGCTGAAGTTGTGGATAAGATTAAAATTTTACCAGTGAGAAGCATTTAAGGGAGATATAGAAGGCAGAAGTGAGCTGAGACCATTTTTCTGTTGATATGGCGGCTGGTGAGCAAAAGTGGATAGACACAAATGTCTCTTGTCAATATCCTATGGCCCTTTTTCCAGTATCAACTCTCTGGCTTTATGGAAATGATGCTGCCATGGTAGCAATAGAGATGGTGGTAGCACCATAAATTCTTGACCTCAAGATTATAGTATCTGAGGTGTAACTGTAAAACCAATGATTTAGTAGCACTTAAATGTAAGTGAATTAAGTCCTTTCTTATTTGAAATTTCTAGAATGGTTATTGTTTACTGCACTGAGACTGATTAGCACATCAACAGACTTTCAGAATACAGATCACATAATGTACTTTGACAATTTAATAAAGAAAAGCTAAGTAGAAATGGAGAAAATATATGAACAAGCATTTTATGAGAAAAGAAAACCACATGGGTAAATAAACATAAAAAATGGTCAACAACATTGGTATTCAGGAAAATGCAAATTAAAACCATAAAAAATATTTAAGTCAAAATGATAAAAATTAAGAAGCCTGACAAGAGTACAGATATTAAAAGATATGGATCAATATAAAGTCATAAATATCACTGGTAAGAATATAAATTGGTATAGCTACTTTGGAAATTAGGTTGATGTTATATCGCAAAATTGAAATTCACGAAGCCTGACAAGAGTACAGATATTAAAAGATATGGATCAATATAAACTCATAAATATCACTGGTAAGAATATAAATTGGTATAGCTACTTTGGAAATTAGGTTGATGTTATATCGCAAAATTGAAATTCACATAGCCTATAATCCAGCAACTTTCTTCCTTGAAACTCTTGCACTTGTGTATGTTATTGATAAAAAAATTAAGTCGGCCGGGCGCGGTGGCTCACGCCTGTAATCCCAGCTCTTTGGGAGGCCGAGGCGGGTGGATCACGATGTCAAGAGATCGAGACCATCCTGGTCAACATGGTGAAACCCCGTCTCTACTAAAAATACAAAAAATCAGCTGGGCATGGTGGCGCATGCCTATAATCCCAGCTACTCAGGAGGCTGAGGCAGGAGAATTGCCTGAACCCAGGAGGCGGAGGTTGCGGTGAGCCGAGATGGCGCCATTGCACTCCAGCCTGGGCAACAAGAGTGAAACTCCGTCTCAAAAAAAAAAAAAAAATTAAGTCTCAGAACATTAGACTATACCATTTTTCTATAGTCTTTAAAAATGTAAAACCAAACAGTACATTGTTTGGAGATACACACACTTATAAAAAACTGTAAAAGCAAAGGAATAATAAATATGAAATTCAAGATAGTGCTTATCTCTGGCAGAGAGATAGGGAAGAATGGGAAATAGAAGAAAAACATGGATAAATGCACCAGTATTGGTAATATTTTAACAAGTTTTCATTTTATCGATATGTTTTCTAACATACATACATATTATACACTACACTATTGATTGCTAATATTTATAAGGTGCTTATTTTGTATCCTACTCCAAGCACTTACTTTATCCCTTACAGTCAGTCCCATGAAACAGGTTCTGTTACTACCTCTGATTTACAGTACAGGAAACTAATGCAGAAAGGGAAGTAACTTGTCCAGGGTCACACAACTAATCAGTAATCGAGCCTGGAGTCAGATAGAAATCAGGCCCCACATTCTTTATTATTTTTTTCTTTTTTTTCCCCGTCCCCCACAGAATCCACATTCTTAACCATTAATACTATAGCTATCAAATATCAAATAACAAAAATAAAAATTAATCTGAGACAATGATAAAAGACAGAACCAATAGTTAATTGATTTACCTTTCATTTTCCTTGATGACATTTTCAAGTTGTAGTTTCATCTCACCCACCTGTTTCTGAAAGAATAAAATATGGTGTGGCAATACATTTTCCAGACAATTAGATCCCCATTAAGTAGACCACTCATGTAAGCAATCAGATTCTGACACTAGTCTACAGATAAGAAAGACTTATTCTTTATTTCTAACAAGGGATAATTAATATGGACAGTTAACACACAGAACACAATAAAACACTTATTTTAAATAGAAAATAAAATAGAAATATTTTATGTAACATAGTGAGAAATATTTATAAATGTAATTCCTATGATCTGTAGCTGTGAAAAACAAATGAAAGATATTCCTCAGTATATCACTATAACAAATACCAGATGGTTCCTTTATCTTGAATGTATATCTTAGTTACCTCACCTCAGTTTAGGTGAAGTCCATATAAGCATACATATTTTTCTAGTATTCCGAAAGGTAAAATGCTAACAATAAAGAAGAAAATGGAGGTCTTTTTTAGGAGTCATTAATTCAGTCTCTGATTCACCACCTTCATTAACTATCTAAACTCTCTGTACCATACAAAGCTGCTAAGGTAAACAGACAGGCTCACTGAAAAATAGTAGGAAGGATGGAAAAAAAACCAAAACAACCCTAACTAAAATACAAGGAAGAATAAAATGTACACTAGAAAGGGAATTAAATGAAGGTCTGACTAATGCTCTCTGAAGCAGTAAAAGATGTTAGGATTTGAAAAGAAAAGGACGAGAATTTAAAGTAGGTGAAAATATGAGTAAAAACAAAATAGCAGAAAATAAGTAGTCAACTCTTAGTAAGTCTGAATGAGCAAGTGTAGAGCAGGAAAAAAAAAAACGAACCCTGAATTTACATGTAAAAGGATGCAAAAATCTCACTTAAAACCGTAATCAATTTATGATTGTGTATTAGTCTTGATTGTGCTTCCTAGGCTAATGGAGAGAAGCTAATCCTAGAGTACACCTTTCAAGGAATGGGTGGAACAGGCAGTTCTCCAAGCCTTTTTCTCTCCCTTTCAACCAGAGAAGATCAAGGCAGCTTGGTCTAGGAGATCAGCAATAGCAAATTCTAACTATAAATTTGGTTTGAAAGGTGAATTTTCCAAGGTCTCCATTATGCCTGAAACACACACAAATAAACCAACATGAATTAATTCACTACCACATAATTAAGCGCTGACCATATATGGAGTGATATAGTGAGAGATAAAATTGGAAAGAGAGGTACAGGGTTTTGAAAATGCCATGGCAAGAGGTTTGGATTTATTGTAGCAATTATATTAATTTTATAATTTTTAAAGGAATTGATCTTTTTTGTTTTTTTCCTGAGATGGGGGTCTCACTGTTTCCTAAGCTAGAAGGTGAGAGCATGATTGCAGCTCACTGCAGTCAATAAATTGATCTTTAAAAGTTGCAAAACCTTAAAGAGTATTTATTACTCCTAAATAATTATGTAAGATATATATTCACTAGCTAAGACTAAAGATGGATCATAATATTCACACTAGAAATTTCTTATGTAAAATATTTCAAAATATTTATATTTGGAAGGAAGTGAAATCCATATAGTATTTCTCACATCATCAAATTCTTCCCTACTATTTACATTTTTCTGGCAGAAAATCTTCCATATAGAGAATTAGACTGCTACTTTTCCTGCTTTGGAGATATACTATTTTTTGACTAGGTCAGAAAGTCATAAGAACTAGTCCTCCTAATCAATCACATCTCTCTAAGCAACAATTCTTAGCTGTCAACATTTTTTTCTTTAAAAAAAGGAGCAATTATTTTTATCATCATAGACTCTTTGGCTTTCTAGCATAGTTTATTTTTCTCATAATTAGTTCAGTGGTCACCCTTTGGTGGTAAAGAATGCCAAATCGAAACACAAAGTTAAACATCTTAGTAAAATGGCTGATTAAAGAAATACATGAATCAGATTATAAAAATTTAAAAGAATCTAATTTCAAGATAATTAGCTATTCTATGTTATAACAACCAAAGTATATAATATAATATAATATAGGAATTTAGAGAGAGTAAATTCAGCAGAAACTTTAGATTCACTAGTCCTAAAAATAAAAGCAAAATATCATTTGTGCAAAAGAGAGCTTTCTGTTGCTCTTTAATTGTCAACTAGAAAGATTTAAAGACATTACTGTGCTTGTCATAAATTTAAATGTCTACAGGCTAAAAAATACACAGTAAAGACCAGCAAAAGACTTTATGGTAAAACAGACACTATAAGTTTAATGGAATGCTTTTATTTGAAATTTGAGTCTATAAGACAACTTTTTATGTATTTGAAAAATAACCGTGGAAATGAAAGCCTACATAATTCCAAATGCAGTAAAAGAACCTAACTTTATTTTTATAAATTGGAAGTATTATGTATTATGTGTTCTTTTAGTAAAACTACATATCAATGCATTAATTGATAAATAAGGGATTGTTAAGCTAGCTCTAATCATCTTATTCCCATAAGCCCTGGCATTTGGTCATTCATTAAATATTTAAGGGCCTACTATGTGCTACACTTGAAAGTATACAGTACGATCCCTTCATGCCCATGCATAAAAAGAAAAGGAAGTAAGGGAGAAAGTTCTTAGTGTCTGCCACACACACAGCCCCATTCTGAGAAAATCAGTCTTGGGGGTTGCTTTAATATATTTTATTTATTTATTGAGACAGAGTCTCTTGCCCAGGCTGTAGTGCAGTGGCATGATCTTGGCTTAATGCAGCCTCCACCTCCTGGGTTCAAGTGATTCTCCTGCCTCAGCCTCCCAAGTAGCTGGGATTACAGTTGTGTGCCATCATACCTGGCTAATTTTTGTATTTTTAGTAGAGACAGGGTTTCACTATGTTGACCAGGCTTGTCTTGGAACTCTTGATCTCAACCATTCTGTGTGCCTTGGCCCCCCAAAGTGCTGGGATTACAGATGTGAGCCACGACACCTGGCTGGGTTGCTTTAATATAAAGTCATTATACTCTCATTTGCAATAATGAAAGCCAACCCTGCTACCCTTGCCACAACCATATTCACCCAGGAATTGGAATCTAAATCAAATATAATCATGAGTATATTCAAGCTCTAATGAAGAGAGGTCACTGTCTCCTGATAGGCTTACCTTGAGACATATAAGTTCTATTTAAGAAATACTTCTATTATATTGTTATCCCAGTATCAGAAAGGTCAAAATTTTAGGGAAAAATGTTAAAGACATTTTCAGATCAAAGAAACACATTATAAATATTAGGTATACTCTAAACATGTGGCTGACTGAAACTCAAATTGTACCCTAAACAATTTTGTGCTATTATTCTAGTTCTCCATAAGCCTACTACACATCCTAGTTTAAGCAGCCCCGAGACCCAAAATGATAATCCATTCTGCAAGTAATGGGACATGCAGATAGAATGAGGTAAGAAGGAAGGTCTAAAAGGATGAGAGGCAGTTTTATGTTAAAAAAAAGAGAGAGAGATGTAAGCAAATAATGAGATTAAGATATTAAGCATCTAAGAAATATTTCAACCAAGATAGCAAGAGCAAGGAAATACTGAATTAAAAGACAAAACTGAAGAGAATCTTGACTTTTTTCTTTGAGGCAAGGTCCAGTTCTGTTGAATAAGCTGGAGTACAGTGGCTTCACCACAGCTCACTGCAGCCTCAACCTCCCAGGCTCAAGTGATTCTCTCATTTCAGCCTTCTGGGTAGTTAGGACCACAGATGCACACTACTACACCCAACTAACTTTTTTTTTTTTTAAGAGATAGGGTCTCACTACGTTACCTAGGCTGGTTTCAAGCTCCTAGGCTGAAATAATCTTCCCACCTTAGCGTCCCAAAGTGCTGGGATTATAGGCATGAGCTACTGTATCCAGCTAGAATCGAATCTTTAAACATATGCACATATATACATGCACACACACTTACAGAGGACCATCAATTGGTTAGTTACAGCAAATATTGTCTTCATCATCAATGTCTTTTTAAAAAGAGGAAGTCTATTTTACTTTTTATTTATTATTAAAAAATTTGTTTTTTGAGACAGAGACTTGCTCTATCACCCAGGCTGGAGTGCAGTGGCACAATCTTGGCTTGCTGCAAACTCCGCCTCCTGGGTTCAAGTGATTCTCTTGCCTCAGCCTCCCAAGTAGCTGGGATTATAGGTACACATCACCAGGCCCAGCTAATTTTTTGTATTTTTAGTAGAGATGGGGTTTCACTGTGCTGGCCAGGCTGGTCCCAAACTCCTGATCTGCCTACATTGGCTACTTTTTATTTTCATAATAAAATATTTAAAAAGCCTCATAACTATGATTTCATACCTGATAATATTTCAGCTGCCCATTTAGTTCTTCTAGATGCTTATCATACTCAGTAATAAGAGGAGCTAAAAACCTAAAAAAAAAAAAAAGACAATAAAGATATAGCATATTCTGTTCCATCTAGTTTAATAAATATGTAACAAGTAAAATAAATTACACATAAAAATTTTATGTTTAGTTTACCTATGCAATCAATACTTTTCCTTTTTTTTCAAAACCAGGAGTTTTAACTATTTGCACAATTACTACTTTGGGATGAGAAATTCTTTGTTGTGGGGTGGCTAGTCTGTGCATTGAAGGATGTTTAATAGCATCCTTGGCCTCTACCCATTAGATGGCAGCAGCAGCCTCACTTTCCACAGTAGTGACAAGCAAAAATGTTTCCAGATGTTTGCCAAATATCTCCTGAGGAAACAAGAGTAAAATCGTTCCTCACTGAGAACTAATTTTATAGACCCTGTAATACTTACTTTTTCTTGTAAATTCAAGAACAAAGCATTTAAACTTAACAGCATAAACAAACATTTCTGATACTAAAATAATTGTTTTAATGATAATTAAATATAACTAAGAAAATGATATTTTTCTAGTAATACTTTACCTTTGGTCAAATGCTAGGTTTTCAAATCTGTCGCCTCCTTCTCCTTTGCAGACAGCTTTCTATAACAGAGAATGTGCATCTTAAAATGTTTTCTCACATCATTCTAGACAAAATTGACAGTGATTTAACATTAAATGCAATTAAATTTTTACAGCCTTAGAAAATCTATTTATGTAATTCAAAATGAGAGAAAAAGAAAAAATAACAAGCTCAATTGATACTGAAATGTATTTGTTAAATTTAACACCCATGCATAACAAAAACCACTAGCAAATTAGAAATTTGAGAAATTTTTCTTAATTTGATAAAAATAGCTGCCAGAAATCTATATCAATTACAATTTAAAGGTTGAAAAGCAAGATACAAGGCTATTATTATTTATAAACGATTTGGCCATTTACCTAAAAATTCAGTATAATCTACCAATTATTAGAACCAGTAAGAAAATACACTAAAAGTTACCATACAGAAGATGAACACTTAAAAAAATTTCAGTAGCTTTTTTATATGCCAGCAATAATGAGAAAATGTAATAGAAAAAAATCCTATGCACAACTATGACAAACAGTATCTGGGAGTGAAGAATTGAGAATTTTTCTTATTGAGAAAATAAGCTTTACTAAAGGATATTAAAGGAAATCTAAACATGGTACTATAACATTCATGTATGTGTGCAACGGTCAATATTTTGAGTATGTCATTTCTTTATAATTCACTGCAACTTCATTGCACTGAAAAATGAAGTTCCAATAGAATAATTTATAACACTTAATCTTAAATAAATCCTAAAGTTCCATGAATGAGTAAGTGTGCAAAATCAGCCAAAATAATCTTGCCAAAAAAAAAAAAAAAAAAAAAAAAAAAAAAAAAAAGGAAAAGAGCAAAGAAAGAGGGAAAAATTTGGCTTATTACATAGCAAAACACCACAATGCTACAGCAATTTAAATAGTATGCTATAGATACAGTAACAAATACAACAGTATACCAAACCCAGAAATAGATTCAAGCATTTATAGGCAAGTGGTATATAAAAGAAGAGGAATTATAATTGAATGGACAAAGTACTGCTATCCAACAAATAGCATTGGCTAACAAAACAAAATTAGATTCCAGCACACACTAAATAGAAAAATAAATTATAGATAAAAATCCAAATATTGTTAAAATTTAATTTAACAGTGATTGCAAGAAAATGCATTATTGACCTTGAGTTAGACAATGCTTTCTTAACTTCACGATTGCAGAAATTTGTGTCTATTTTGTTCACAAATACCCCAAGAAGCATCTGCCATGCTTGTTTGCTGAAATTACATTTGTTAGCTGGAAGACACCAGAAACAAAACCTATAAATGGAAAGACTGATGCATTTTACAACATTCAAATTTAAAACTTCTTTACAGCTAAAGACACCATAAGCAAAGTTAAAAGACAGTACAGCAAACCCAGAAATAGACTCAAGCATTTATAGGTAGGTGTATAGCATTTGTAACATGACCAGACATTTAGTATCTATGGAGTATGGAGAAACATTTAAACGCAAGAGGTACCATGTTGTACCAGTGGAGCCTTTGCTGTAAAACATAGCTAACAAAATGTCTTTTAACAGAATAAATAAAAAATGATACAACAGAATTCTATAAGTAGTGTAAAAATTAAATTTATATGTATCAAAATAGATATAAAAAACAAAGAAGTTATTTCTAGGGGTGGAGAGAAGAAAATAAGACAGAGAAGAAAGGTGTTCAAAGAGATCACTAAAAGCATCTGTAATATTCTGGCTTTTTGAAGGGAGAAAGTATTCATGATCACATATATAAAAGAGTAATTTTAAAATATAACTCAAGCCTCTGATTTCTAAAGTTTCACTTAATTAATTTTTGACATCTTTACTCTGTAAATACTCATTTATCTACTATGTGCAAGGGCCCATGGTAGGTACAGTAAATAATACAAAGATGATCAAACAATTCATAGTCCTTATCCACTGAATGGATTGTAGAGTTATAGGAAGAAACAGGCAAATAAGCAGGAGCAATAATAAGAATAAAGACAAACCATGAAAGAGGCATAGAATGGTGAAAACGAGATGAAAGGAGGTTAATCAAAACTGTTTTTATTCAAGTACTACCTACATACAGAAGATACACAAATTGTCAGTATAGAGCTAAATAATTCTCACAAAGTGAATATATTCATGTAACCAGATCTCAAATCAAGCAACAGAGTACAAGTACTCCTCACTTTGTATATTGGTATAAATGTCTTCATTTTACACAGTTCTGTGGAAATATCAAATCCAAGTAGGGACAAAGCTCTGATACACACAAGTTTTAGTTAACATGGTACTGCAAAAAGTGAGAACTACTTAAATGACCAACAACTCCCAAACCCCTAAGTCACTACCCCCAGGTTCCATGTGGAACCCAAATCCTGACTTCTATGAGTAGGAAATCATTTTGCCTGTGTTTAAAAAATTTAAAGAAATATAACGATATAGCATATTTTCTCTTATGTCTGGCTTCTTTTGCTTACCATTGGGTTTGTGAGATTTATTCTTACTGCTGGAAGTAATTTTGGTTAGTTCATTCTTATTGATATACTATTTCACTTTATAGATATGGCACAATATATTTATGCCTTCTACTATTTAAATAATAAGTATTTGGGTTGTTCATTACTTGGCTATTATGAATAGTGCTGCTACAAACATTCTTGAAAAGGTCTTTTTGGTACATGCATTTCCGATGGGTATACCTACAGGTAGAAATGATGACTCATAAGGTCTGTATCAGTCAGATCTACAAGAAAATGTCAAACAATTTTCTGAAGTGATCTTAACAATTTACTCTCCCACAGTCAGTATATGAGACCTGTTCTACATCTTTGTCAACACTTGGAATTATGCCTTTCACTCTAGAGAGTGGATGTAGTAGTATCTCCTTGCGGTTTGAATTTCCATTTATCTGATAATTAACGAAGTTGAACACTCTTTTCTACAGTTATTAAACATTTTAAATACCCTCTTTTGTGAAGTGATAGTTCAGATCTTTGACTTGCTTCCTAATGGAAACAGTTATTAATTTGATGACATTCTTCATACATTCTAGGGTTATGCAAGATTACAAATATGTTCCCCCATTCCATAGCTGGCCTTTTTACTTTTTTTCTTTTCTTTTTTTTTTTTTTAATTTTACTTTAGGTTCTGGGGTACATGTGCAGGTCATGCAGGGTTGTTGCATAGGTGCATATATAACCAGGTGTTTTGCTGCCTCTATTCCCCCTTCATCTATATCTGGCATTTCTCCCCATGTTATCTCTCCCCATGCTCCCCCTCAGGCTGTCCCTCCGCTAGCCGCCCCCACAACTATCTCCAGTGAGTGATGCTCCTCTCCCTGAGTCCACGTGTTCTCATTGTTCAGCACCCGCCTATGAGTGAGAACATGAAGTATTTGGTTTCCTGTTCTTATGTCAGTTTGCCGAGAATGATGGTTTCCGGATTCATCCAAGTCCCTATAAAGGACATGAAATCATTGTTTTTTATGGCTGCAATAGTATTCCATGGTGTATATGTGCCACATTTTCTTTGTCCAGTCTATCATTGATGGACATTTGGGTTGGTTCTGGGTCTTTGCTAATGTACACAGGGCTGCAATGAACATATGTGTGCATGTATCTTTATAATAGAAGAATTTATAGTCCTTTGGGCATATACCCAGTAATGGGATTGCTGGGTCAAATGGAATTTCTATTTCTAGATCCTTGAGAAATCGCCACACTGTCTTCCACAATGGTTGAACTAATTTATATTCCCACCAACAGTGTAAAAGCATTCCTATTTCTCTACATCCTCTCCAGCATCTGTCTCCTGATTTTTTAATGATTGCCATTCTAACTGGCGTGAGATGATACCTCAATGTGGTTTTGATTTGCATTTCTCTAATGACCAGTCAAGATGAACTGGTCATGTTTGTTGGCCTCATATATGTCTTCTTTTGAAAAGCACCTGTTCATACCCTTTGCCCACTTTTGAATGAGGTTGTTTTTTTCTTGTATATCTGTTTTAGTTCATTGTAGATTCTGGATATTAGCTCTTGGTCAGATGAGTGGATTGCAAAAAGTTTTTCCCATTCTGTTGGTTGCTGGTTCACTAAAATGATTGTTTCTTTTTTTTTCTTTTTCTTTTTTTTTTTTTTTTTTTTTTTTTTTTTTTTTTTTTTGAGACGGAGTTTCGCTCTTGTTACCCAGGCTGGAGTGCAATGGCGTGATCTCGGCTCACCGCAACCTCCGCTTCCTGGGTTCAGGCAATTCTCCTGCCTCAGCCTCCTGAGTAGCTGGGATTACAGGCACGTGCCACCATGCCCAGCTAATTTTTTGTATTTTTAGTAGAGACGGGGTTTCGCCATGTTGACCAGGATGGTCTCGATCTCTTGACCTCGTGCTCCACCCGCCTCAGCCTCCCAAAGTGCTGGGATTACAGGCTTGAGCCACCGCGCCCGGCCCTGTTTCTTTTGCTGTACAGAAGCTTTTAATTTTAATTAGGTCCTATTTGCCTATCTTGGTTTTGTGTCATTGCTTTTGGTGCTTTAGTCATGAAGTCCTTGCCTATGCCTATGTCCTGGATGGTTTTGCCTGCATTTTCTTAGAGTTTTTATGGTGTTAGGTTTTGTGTTTAAATCTTTAATCCATCTGGAGTTAATTTTAGCGTAAGGTGACAGGAAGGGGTCCAGTTTCTGGTTTCTGTACATGCTACCAGTTTTCCCAACATCATTTATTAAACATGGAGTCTTTTCCCCATTCTTGTTTTTGTCAGGTTTGTCCAAGATCAGATTGTTGTAGATGTGTGGTGTTGCTTCTGAGGACTCTGTTCTGTTCCATTGGTCTATGTCTCTGTTTTGGTACCAGTACCATGCTGTTTTGATTAGTGTTGCCTTGTAGTATAGTTTGAAGTCTGGCAGTGTGATGCCTCTGGCTTTGGTTTTTTTGCTTAGGATTGTCTTGTCTATCTAGGCTCTCTTGTGGTTCCATATGAAGTTTAAAATGGGTTTTTCCAGTTCTGTGA